AAGATCACATCATCTGTATACAGGGATAATTTTACTTACTTTTTCAATTGGGATGCCTTTTGTTTCTTTTATTTAATAGTTGCCTAATTGCTGTAGCTAGCAATTAGTACAGTCGTCTAGTACTTTGTTGAATAGGGATGGCAAAAGCAGACATCTCTGCCTTCGTCCTGATCTTAGAGGAAAAGTTTTAGTCTTTCACCTTTATAGTATGATGTTGGCTGTGGGTTGTTCATATGTGGCTTTTATCATGTTGAGGTAGTTTTCCCCTATTCCTAGTTTGTGGAGTTTTTTTTTTTTTTTTTTAATCATAGAAGGACATTGAATTTTTTTCAAACGTTTTCTTCTGGCATAATTGAGATAATTATGGGGCTTTTCCCCTTCATTCTGTTAATGTGGCCTATATCATTGATCAATTTTTGTGTGTTGATCATTCTTTCATTGAAGGACTAAATCTCCTTTGGCCAAGGTGTATAATCCTCTTAATACGCTGTTAAATACACTAGCATTTTGTTGATGATTTTTACACTAATGTTTATAAGAAATAATGGTCTATAGTTTTCTTTTTCTTGTGTCTTTGGCATCAAAGTAATGCCTCATAGAACTAGTTAGGAAGTGTTGCTTCTTCTTTATTTTTTTGGAACAGTTTCAGAAGGATTGCTATTAGTTCTTTAAATGTTTGTTAGAATTCACTAGTGAAGCCATCAGATCCTGGGCTTCTTTGTTGTTGTTGAAAGATTTTTGATTACTGATTCAATCTCCTTACTAGTTATAGCTCTATTCGGTTTCTATTTCTTTGTGATTTAGTCTTGGTAGGTTTTGTGTTTCCACAAATTTGTCCATTTCATCTAGATTTCCAATGTGTTGTCATACAATTGTTCATAGTACTCTCTTATGGTCCTTTTCATTTCTGTAGAATCGGTAGCAATGTTCCCATTTTCATTTCTGATTCTATTAATTTGAGTATCCTTTTTTCTTAGTTCATCTATCCAAAGGCTTGTGTGTTTTGTCAGCCTTTACTAACAGCCAACTTTTGGTTTCATTGATTTTCTTCATGGTTTTTCTAGTCTTTTTTTCATTTATCTATGTTTATTGTTTCCTTTGTTCTGGCTAGCTTGGGTCTAGTGTATTCATTTTTTAGCTCCTTAAGTTGTAAAATGAAGCTGCTGATTTGAGATATTTGTTTTTTTTTTAGTGTAAGCATTTATAGCTATACATTTTAATCTTAGCACAACTTTCACTGTGTCCCATAAGTTTTGGCAGGTTGTGTTTTGTTTTCATTAATTTCTAAGACTTATTTTTTGACCCACTGGTTGTTTAAAAGTATGCTGTTTAGGCTGGGTCTGGTGGCTCACGCCTGTAATCCCAGTACTTTGGGAGGCTGAGGCGGGTGGATCACTTGAGGTCAGGAGTTCAAGACCAGCCTGGCTAATATGGTGAAACCCTGCCTCTACTGAAAATGAAAAAAATTAGCAGAGAGTGGTGGTGTATGCCAATAGTCCCAGCTACTCAGGAGGCTGAGAGGCAGGAGAATCTCTTGAACCTAGGAGGTAGAGGTTGCAATGAGCCAAGATCCCACCACTGTACTCCAGCTTGAGTGACAAAGTGAGACTCTGCCTCAAGGAAAAAAATAAAAGGCATGCTGTTTAATTTTTGAATATTCCAGTTTTATTTCCGTTATTGACAATTAACTTCATCCCATTGTGGTTGGAAAAAATACTTTGTGTGGTATCCATCTTTTAAAGTCATTGAGACTTAACATGGGGCTAACATAATGGCCTGTGTTGGAAAATGTCCCTGTGTGCTTGAGAAGAATGTTTATGGTATTGTTATTGGGTAGAGTGTTCTGTGTAGTCTGTTAGACCTAGTTGGTTTATTGTGTTAAGTCTTCTGTTTTCTTACTTATCTTCTGTTTGGTTGTTCTATCCATTATCGAGAGTAGGGTATTGAAGCCTTCTACTATTATTGTACAACTATCTATTTCTCCCTTTAATTTTGTCAGTTTTTGCTTCATGTATTTTATGACCTGTTATTAGGTACATAAATGTTTATAATTATTACATCTTCTTGGCGTATTAAATCTTTTATTAATATATAATGCCCTTCTTTATCTCATAACTTTTTTGATTTAAAGTCTATTTTGTATGATATTAGTATAGCCACTTCTGCTCTCTTTTGTTTACTATTTGCATAAAATATCTTTTCCACCCTTTTACTGTCAAAGCATTTGTGTCTTTGAATCTAAAGTAAGTCTCTTGTACTAAGCATATACATAGTTGAATCATGTATTTTTATCCATTCTGCCAATCACTGGTTTTTATTAGAAACGTTTATCCACTTACATTTAAATTAGTTACTGATAAGGAGAGGCTTTCATCATTTGGCTCTTTGTTTTGTATATACTTTATAGCTTTTTTTTGTTTCTCATTTCCTGCATTGCTACCCTCTTTTGTATTTAGTTCATTTTTTTTTTCATAGTGAAATGTTTGAATTGCTTTCTCATTTCTCCTTGTGTGTATTCTACAGCTATTTTCTTTGTGGTTGCCATGGGAATTAAATTAACATCCTAAAGTTATAGCACTCTAATTTGAATTTATACCAGTTTAACTTTAATGGCATAGAAAAACTCTGTTCCTTTACATCTCTAGCCCTACTCCTTTCAGTTATTAATGTCAAATAATTACATCTTTACACACTGTATTCCAAAAAAGGAAAAAAGAAAAATGAAGCATGTGGGGAGAACCCTTTTAATCCCCTGGAAGTCACTTCCGTTGGTGGGGGAGGGGCTGACAGCAATGGGTGAAGGTGCAGCAACAATGGCTGCCACATTTTTTGTCTGCTCCTCCGTGATCAGAAGCAGCAATTAGTGATCCAGGGTCAGATTTCTGATATTTGGAGGACAGGGTTCTTTTTGCCCATCCTGGCTCATATAAGCTGTGTTCAGGTCCCTCCTAGAACATGTGCACAGCTGCCTGCAATGGGCCTGGGTGTAGGGGATGGGTAGCTATCACTGTGCTAAGAGCTGAAATGGACCGAAATTAACTGCAATTTTACCATCTAAGCCTTCCTCTGGAAGTTGCAAACATTCCATAGATTCCAGAGCTCCATCCATTGAATTACATCAAATTCTGCCAGTGCAGAAAGATAGTAGGATTAACAAACCCTCTCCCTACAGAAAGCCTTGTTGCAATAGGTTTCTGCGAATATCTATCTGTAACACTAACCACTTGCTCAAAACAAAGGCCTCATCTGCATAGAGGAACTCATTTCTACCTTGCTAAATCTGAAAGCATTCAAGACTGACATCTACATTTTTATTTTCTACTAAATGCACTCTACTTACTAAACTCTGATCTATTCACTATTCAACAGGTTTTAAAAGTCAAGATACTAATCAGTTTTAGACTTTGAAATTACATGGGTTTCTTTGGACTATTTAGAAATTCATTAGCAATGACAGAATTTACATTTCAGAGGTTTGGAGGATATAAATCTAACATTTTAGATTTTTGACCTGGCTCTGAAAGAAATCTTTTCATGAGATTCCTAATGATTGATTTATTCCTAATATTGGTCATGCAGTAGATCGTTTTTTGTTTCCAAGTTTAAAAATCAGATTTATATTTTCAGTCTAAAATTCCTGGTTGAGGTTCTATATGTGGACCTAAAAGCCAGCTATACCTTAGCCCCTGGGCTCAGATCATTTGTTGTTATCAAAAGGGTGGACAAGGTTAAAAGCCTACTTTCTACCCAAAGGGAAAGCTTGCAAATGGAACAGATCTCTGATGTGCTCTTTGGTCTATCTGTTCTCTACGTTGGGCTTTGAAACGGTAACCTTCACGTGAGCAATATGCTGCTGGAGCACAATTTGTATGCAAATGAATTGAGAGAGATTTATTACAGATTCAAAATGAGTTCTCCCTGATATTGCACTGAAAGACTTGATGATGTCTTAGCAACCTTAAGTATAAACTAGCCATCTGAAAGCAAAGGTAGGAAAAGCATCTGCCCTTCTCTCAGGTTATATGAGTTGAAATCTTTCAGTTTCTGCCTTCATGGTAGTAACAATTTTTTCATATTCAATATTTATTGCTGTAACATAACCAATCTCTGCTTATTAGGGCACATAAACCATCTTACCGTTTTCCTCCCCCTGCTTCTGTATACCCCTAGGCTCTACAGAAACAGTGAGCTGTTCCAGTTTGTAGTTCATTCAAATAGCTCTAAGACTGTCAAATCTGATAATTTTGGACAAAGTGAGTGGGTTAAAATAGTTGAAAATGAACCAAACTTTCAATCAGATGTGATTTGAGTTTACAGTGCTATAGTTTAGTTGTAATAGAAAGTATGAGAGCTTAAAAGGCTCAGAATAATTCAGATAAAATTATCTTGGGGTCTTTTTCCATTTTAAAGTGAATCGAGCAATTCTGTGTGCTTGAGGATTGACAGCATAATGGCAACAGAGCAAACTGCAGAATTTATCACCAGGTAACTGCATTAGCAGCAAAACTCATAATGCAGTCTGTTGGTGGAAAAGAGCATGAAGGAGCCTTCTATTTTCTTATGAGGTGCCATATGTTCATAGTTCTTGGCCAATTATATTTAGCTACTGCCGAATTACAGTTATTGGAAAATGCTCTCTACTCTATAGTCTTTCACAATGTAATGACAGGCCTCATAGATAGTGACTCTTCTTATATAATTTGTTTATTAGCATAGATAAACATACTCAAAACTGCTTTCTAACATTGCCTTCTATTTATGATATATCTATAACACCAGATATTGCTGTGTAATAGCAATCCTGAACATTTCTATGTATTTCTAAGGATTGACTACATGTTAAATTGGTGGGCAAATGTTTCAGTAATCTTTGAAACTTTTATATTTCACAGTAACTCTTTTTTAGATAGAATTTTTTTGTAGGATAAGATGCATAGTACAAATGTTATAGGCAGTTCTTATATAACATTCAGGTACGTTCTTGTTCATGTTTCACTTACCAGGATCAAGAGGCAACTTGAGGCCAGTTTTGTGTGCTCAGGGATGGTAGAAAACACTGACAAAATCAAGCAACCAAAGACAAGGAGAAAACTGTAAAACAACAAAAAAGAGAAATCTGATAAGAACCTTGCTTTATTATCACAGACTTAATTTCTTGCTTCAAATGAATAAAGCACCAGGCCCATTAAATTAGCACATATTAAGTCATAAAAACTCTGGAAGGGACTAGCCATTTTGGATATTAAAATACAGTATGATATACAGTGCAAATGGGGCTCCTCTGCAACTTTATTGATGAAAAAAAGGTTGTGTTTGTGAGTTTGTGTGTGGCATGCTGCATTTAAATGTTAACATCTAAGAGTTTGTGAATTTCCCACACAACTTCCTTCCCAAACAACGATCCTGAGAGAGGCCCAGAAAGTATGTTTTTGCTCTCCTATCTGGGGAGCACACGCCACAGTCACTCTTCTTTTAAAGGAGCAGAGTCTGTCTCCTGTTTGGCAACTTTGCTAAACTATCAAGTGTACTCATTGGCTGATACTGAGCCACCAGCTTATTTTCAGGGTCTGATATTGCTCATGGATTCTCATTTGCTATCCCTTTATGTTATTAATAATAAGATCATATATTAATAAAAAGAATAGAAAAGGAAGTGAATGATTTCCTCTGCTATCCATGCACTTTCCATTTCCTTTTAGTCAAACTGCGGGATAAATGACTTCTTAGCTCTGTCTATTCATATATAAGGATAAGGAACAGAAGTCAGGATCAGGCATTGCCTACCAATTAATCTACAGACATTTTTATTCCTATAAATGTGTAACTTCTAGGATCAAGGCGGGAGCTGAGTTTCCAAGGAAAATGTCTACTAAAAGGGAAGGTTCTGTTTCAAAGTTGAAGTTACTTATTTGAAAGGCAGGATTAAAAAACAAAAAACCTGAGCTACTTGCTCTAGGCTATATTTTTTACTTTTGTTCATCTCTGGGAAATTCATACAGTAAGCTGTTTTAAAATATCAAGTTTCTATGCTCCTCTGGATGATGGTAAAGTTAGTCTCTGACTCCTCCTTGCTTCCCCTGAAAAGTCTTACAAGACTTACTACCATACTTGATTGGAAGTTCCCAAAGGTCAGGGTTTGGGCAGTATAGCCAGAGTTTGGTTAATTATGCCTACAGGACAAATCTGGCTCCTAATGCCTGTTTGTGTAAATAAAGTTTTATCAGCACACAGTCACACTCATTCATTTATGTATTGTCTATGACTGCTTTCATGCTACGATTGCAGAACTGAGTAGTTACAACAGGGACAGTAAGGCCCACAGAAATGTTTGTTGACCCCACCTCATCTATTCCTTGTTTCCTTATATTTATCTCAACATGTTTTCTATGCTGATAATAATGACTAACATTCATAGAGTGGTTCCTATAAGCTGGACAATGTGCTAAGCCCCTTTTAAATGCATTCTCCTCATTCTCCTTATATTATCCATTATCTCTACGTTATCCCCAGAAATCTATGGGATACAAAATATTATAATCCCCATTTTCCAGATATGAAAACTGAGAATTAACATTTGTAGCTCATCCAAGGATGTGTAGCAGAAAGAGAATCTAAGCACTGTGTAGTCTAAGCCTCTACACAGTGCTGCTGAATAAGCATCAGAGATAATGGTGATAACATTCTCAGCTCAGGCAGACACTTCTCTATCTCCTCAAACTGAGGGGGAAGGGGTTGCCATTCTAAACGGAAGAAGTCTCCAAGAGGAAGGAGTCGGCTAGTGGAAAAAACCTAATATGTGATGTTGGTGATTCATCATGCTTTTTTATTTCTCATTTTTATTTTTTTAGAAATAGGGTCTTTCTCTGTTGACCAGGCTAGAGTGCAGTGGTGCATTCATAGCTCATTGTAACTTTAACCTTGAACTCCTAGAGTTCAAGCCATCCTCCCACCTCAGCCTTCTGAGTAGCTGGGACTATAGGCACAGGCCAGCAGGCCTGGCTAATTTTTAAAAAAATTTTTTGTAGGGACAGGGTCTCACCATGTTACTCAGGCTGGTCTTGAACTCCTGGTCTCAAGGGATCCTCACAACTCAGCATCCCAAAGTGTGTCTGGCATCATCCTACTTTTGTTTCATGCATCTAATGATTCAGGATACTGTGGATTATATTTTAAGTTGGTCCTAATGGACTAAAATTTGTAAACTAGTGGTCAAAATCCAGTGCACCTACCTGACCCCCAAGCTACAAATGAGAAAGTGAAATACAAGGATTGCTAAGGTAGTTGGGAGGATGATGTGGCATCAGATGACAGTGACAGATGTTCTCCTCTGGCGAGTAGCCATTATCTGGATACTCTCTCCGCTTCCCCACCAAGTCCAGGTTTACCAGAAAACACTTGGAAAATGAGCAGGAGATTATTTAATCATTAAGATATTTTCCTCCTTTGAGAGCATCTCAGTGACAGTTTTATAATCTCTATGTCTGTGTTCAAAATACACCTTATTGCTAGTTTCTTCTTCATCAATATTTGAATCCTAGAAGGAGGGTACAAAATGTGAAAGGCAGCAAGTCAGAAAACGAATGAGGCAAGTTATTTGCTCTCTGTTTCATGGAACAAGAATTATCAAAGTTTGCAGAACAGGGTGAAACAGGTGGCTGAACTGGGAGTCTGGAGCCAAGTGGAGGAGAGGCTTATAGGGCAGAGTCTGCATTTAGTTCAGTAGAAAATGGGGAGCCATTGAAGATTTCTGGACAGGATAAAAGGGTCATCAGAGTTGCCTTCTGGGAAAATTTAAGTTGGCAGCAGTGTGTAAAGAATGCATCTGAGTCGTGAGAGGCAGGAACAAGGGTAACAGTGAATCTAGGTTAGGCTGTAAATGAACATAGTAGAAATGAGAATGGAATAAAGAGGGAGACTGAAGGGATGCTGTAAATTGAGGAGCAGAGTCTGGAAAGTGGGTGTGGTGGCTGGAAAGTCTGAGATGACCATACAAGTTAGGAGAAGAAAAGTCAAAGTCAGAAGGAGAAACTGGTTTTGGGGAGAAGAGGATAAATCTAGTTTTAGACATCCAAGTGGAAATGTGGATTTAAATCTCAGGTACAAATTCTAGCTGGAGATATGGAAGTATTTTCCACTCCCCCAGAAGAAGTAAATGTATGGAATATGTTATCCTGACAGTGCAGACAAAGCATATAAAGTTTTGGTAAATAAGCATGGAGGATATTCTAGAACCACTTCTTTCATTTGGCAAATGACATCATGGAGAACAATGAACACATTCTGCTCTGAATTAGCTCTTGGTACCATTGCCAGGGGCAGACTTTCTGGCTGGAGAAAACACTGAACTGACACAGAGTGACCCCTCTAAGGTGACAGTGTTCAGATGTTGGGCTCATTGGCAGTGACATAGTGGGGTTTGTGTGTAGTTCTGCTGATACCATTGCTTCTGAGGATCCCGTGCATGCTGATGACTGACCATGACCCCAGTGCACCCCTCTGGTGGTTGAATACAAGTAGAAGCAGAGGCAAGAGTCACTGGGATCAGACTATACTAATGTGGAGTCCATGGTTCTCTAGGGGATCTGTGTGTAAAATTTAGGGGGTTGTGAACATAGCGGGGAAGAATTATGTGTTTATCTTTCACTAACCACAGCAATAGATCATGATGGTATTAGCAGTACTTGTGACTTTGTTGCTCACAAAAATTACAGATTTTAAAATCCCATTTTACAGTTGTAGATGAAACCCTAATTGTTTCATCTTGCATATTGATTTTGCTCATCATTTCAAGATTATGTAGCAATTAGCCCCACTGCTAGGGGTTGTTTATAATGAAGAAGCATATGCATCGCCATATTGCAAATTTGTGTAATGTTTTAATAACAGATTTCAACATATTTTTTCCTTTTGTAGTCACATATATTTGAGGAATGGTTCATCGTTTCCACAAGATTGCCAAAGTGCCCATGACACACATAAAAATTAAGACATCTGTAATTGAGAATTGGTAAGATGGGGCTGGAAGAGGGACCATTTTTGCACCTGTCAGCTTTATGATCAGTTTAAAAAATATGAATGTTTTTCCATGTATATATTAATCCTGATGTATCAAAAGATGGATGTTCCTTCAAAATTAGTCTGGAACAGCTATTGGCCTTTATTTTGCCTGAAACAGTCATTTATATTTTGTTTCTGAGGAAATTCATTTTGATCTAGATCTTTTATCCAAAACTTTTTATTTGGAAGGCACTGATTATTGTAAGACAAAAAGAAGGAAATTTATGAAAAATTTAAATATTACCAGCTCAAAGGACTCTATGTTTACTCAAGAAAACTATCATCAGCATTTCTTGTGGGTTAATTAAGAATCGATTTGTCAGATTTAATTTGACAAAAAGCTTGACTTGGGAATCTCATGGGTGCTTGTATAACAGATGATGTCCAGCTTCCAGAACTAGTGCATCAAGCACAGATTCATTTAGCAAGAATGAAAATGATGTGAAAATAAAACATTCAGAAAAGCTCTGCTGAATGAACCATAGCAAGTTACCCTATTGTCATGCACACAAGTGCACAATCCCCAGGCACTCACAAAGAATTGTGAAAGATGCAATGAAGAAAGGAGAAATGGAACTGAGGTTTAAAGTAGACATCTCCCTGAACTTAGCGTGATACAACAGGCAAATCAACAGAGTAGGCTTTGCTGATTGAAGCAACCACACGTTTCCACCTAGAAGGTGCTCTCTGCAAGCATTTTGGCAGACTATAAGCATTCCATGGCATAATGGCCCATGTAAGTTAGTTATACTTATTAAGAAAGTTTTGAGGGAGGGGAGATCTTAAATTTTTTTTTTTTTTGGTTTTTGAGATGGAGTCTCACTCTGTCGCCCAGACTGGAGCGCAGTGGCATGATCTCGGCTCACTGCAAGCTCCGCCTCCTGGGTTCATGCCATTCTCCTGCCTCAGCCTCCCGAGTAGCTGGGACTACAGGCGCCCGCCACCACACC